CCCCAAAACCCCAAAACCCCAAAACCCCAAAACCCCAAAACCCCTTATATGAGCTTCAAGATTGCTGAGTTAAATAATAATTGATCAAGTGCTTCTAAAATGGGTTAAGCCGAGGATTAATAAGTGTCATTGGGATTATCTGACGAACTTCTTTCTCTCAATACTCTTGAGCATCCCACTGATCTCATTTGTGTATCTTGATGAATTAAATTCCTTGCTTAGGTTTTCAATGGTTCTGAGTTGAATTGAAAGCTCCTCTTTATTGGTATCGTCATTGCTGGCGAGGGAGCTTATTATACTCCTAGAGGCCTCAATTCCTTTAGAGAAGGCATGTATTAAGTCTAGGTTCATCTTGACTATTTTCTGGATATCAGGATTCTTCAAATTTGCCTTGTTAGGTGTAGGCTTTTTGATAAATTTACCATAGTTAGTCTTTTTACCTGCAGTTTTCTTATCTAATACACGAATAGGTGATTTCTTGACAGTTTCTTTACTGCTATATTCTGACTCATTGATTGATAGAATAGGACTAAAGATCTGGTTGTTCCTGCTCATGTTCTCCTTATCTAGCCCTTTGTAAATTTTGGACAGATCCTTCTTTATTTTTGAGGTATTTGCGCTTTTTCTGAACTTAGGAATGTAATTTGAGCTATACTTTCCTTTACTGCTATTTCTCGAATTTATGGAGTCTTTACTAGTTGTAAGGGGTCTTCTACCCTTAGGCTTCACGTAAGAGTTTACCTTCGGTTCCTTTGGACTGATCATAACTCGCATATTACCGAGAGTATGTAACTTGCTTGACACCATGTTTTGTATCAGGCTCTTTTTTAAGTAAGATCCTGAGGAATGCTTTATGTTTTTAATGCTCGACATAGAACTTTTGCCAGTAGTCTTCTTCCTGCGCACAGAGTCAGCAGTGTTACCTAGATAGCTCAGCTTTTTGGATGCATGTGAAGTGATCTGTCTTTTTATGGCCGAAGATTTCTTGTCGCTGCTCTTGGTCTTAATTGAGGCCTTCCCTCCTGTATTACAAAGCTTATAGTTGATATTGACATTGCTTTTATTTTTAGCCTTGCTCTTTCCGTTTGGTTTCTTAAAAACTGTAGGTGTTTTTACAGAGCTCTTCTTTGAAGTAGATGAAGGAGTCTGCTTCATAATTTTGGGACTCTGCTTTGCAAAGGTGAAGAGTTCAATTTCTTTGAATCAATCGCTGCCTTGAGACTTCTTTGAACCACTAGCCTTACTGTTTCTAGATAGTTTGTCACTGACTGGAGGTTTCGGGTTGGCTTCTTGGGTAAAATATCCACCAGTCTTGGATGAATTACGCGATCTTTTGTTCCTGTTTCCTCCTCATTGGAAGTTACTTTTATATGAGTATGGCTTCTTCAGATGCTTATGCATCCGGTCACTCTTGAACTGTCCTCTTGATATTTTTGGATTAATGATAGAAGCTTTATGGGATTGTGATCCAGGAAGGCAAGTACTGTTCCGACTTGGATTTGTATCCTCAAGGGCACTGTTGATCCTGTCCATGTGTCTTTCAAGAACTTCTCCAGCTCAACTAGAAGTGAACCTTTTTGGGACATTGATAGAGGGAAGTTCTGCAGGTGATCATTCTTGGATTTCAAGTTCTTCAAATTTAGATTCCTCATGATTCGTCTGAGAGTTTTCCCTATTTGGAGAATTTTGATCTTTCTTTGTGAATGTAAAGGATGAACTTCCGTTCGAGTTTTTGATTTCTGCTGGAGGAGAATTATTTTGGGATTCAGAGTTGAACTTGTTTCCCCATCTCATGAACTCTTCAAATCCCTCATCTGTTTTTATGTGAGAGCTGTCATCAGATTTTAAACATTTATCAAACTGAGAGATGTCAGAGGGAATGCCTATTAAATCAGGATGAACCATTCCTGCAAAGTTTGGGTTTCTATCGCCATTGTCATGGCTCAAAAGGTTTAGATCTAAGTCTTCATTGCAAAGGAGGTTTGCTTCCTCCTCAGAGATGGGAGTTTGCTGCTTCCTGTTAACTACAAAGACTTTATTATCTTCTACTTCTGGGTTTTGGAGGGGTTTCTGTTGATTAAATTTAAGAAAAATATCTACATCTTCTTCTTTCTTTTCAAAACTGAGCTCTGGTATATTCCCAAGGCTTGTGTTTATCCCTGAAGTGGTAGGATTCATCACATGATCCCCATTTTTGTTCTTAACTAAAGAATGTTGGTATTCTGAACCTTTAGCACTACTTGAAGCTTGGATACTGCTTCCGCGGGAGTTGGGTGGATAAATCCATTTCCTTGTATATTTATTAGTAAGGTCACTTCTAACTTGAGGATGCTCCCTCTCATCTAACTCTTCATCGCATAGTAACTTCTGGATGCCATCCTTGTCCTGGACTGACTCATTCGTAGGGTTTGGCTTGTTAAAGTGACTATATTGCATGAGAAAATCTCAGAAGGTTCCTTACCTATCTTTGAGAGTTCCAAACTCTCGAAGCTCGATCATGAGTTGGGACGAGAGCTTATTTCTCAGCCCTTTCTTAGAGTTTATGTAGTAGAGCAGGAAATCAGATGAGAAATTGGGAAAACTCTCAGTCATTGCCTTGAAGAACTCCTTAATGTAGAAGTCTGTGGGGTCACAAGCATTTTTGATGTCTGAGGAAAGCTGAAGAGAGAAGTTTGTAAGTGTGTAGATCGAGGTTCCTTCGTACTCTCCAATTCGGAGGAAATACCCGTATGGTAAATCTGTGTCGATTACTGCTGATTCTTTGTTATAGATAAGTAGAGTGTTTAGCATACTGAAATCTAGGTTTTCTTCTGTGTATGCAAAGGTCTTTGTCTTTGCAATATCAAGTAACTGTCCTTTGTTTATAAGGTACAACTTAATAAATCATGATCCTCAAGTTCTTTGCTGGAGGTAGACCATGCCAGGAAGATTAGATATTTGCGAGAAGACAATGTCAAAATTTTCAAGCTTGATTGATACTTTATCACCTGGATTGGTTTTATCAGAGCATTGATAGAGAAGATCTTCAAAAACTTCATTTCTCATCTCACTGTCATAAGCAGCGTACCAGATCAGCTGGTTTTCACTATCAGATTTGCTTAAGTTGGCAGACTCTTTATTCTCCTCTCTATTGTCTTTATTATCAGTACTGGATGCAGAAACTCCTGAGGTTCATGCATCATCCCCGTCTCGGAAGTATAGATTCTTGTCGATAGAACTTTGGACAATTGATCTCTTTTGTTCTCGCATGATTCCATTCCAAGGAGGAGTCTGATCAGTGCTTGGATGAGTCTCTTTCTGCTCTTCGGTATTATAGTTGTATTCTAAAACACTGATTAGCCCAGCTAGTTATGAGTAGTTGCAATTACAACTGGAAATAATATAAAGGTTGTCTCCAGTGAGACTTCAAGTTGTGCTCCTCGATCAAACTGGAAATGCTCTTGTTAACTGGAGATATTTAGAGCGAATAGTAATAAAGATTGTAGCTTACGATAGTGTTCGAATTCATTAAACTCTTCAGTATCAGCCTGCTGAGAATCATCGTCTTGGTACAAGCTCATGTATGACACCTCTTGAATTTTTCTATAAAATATTATATCAGATGTGACACTCCTACTATTATCAAAAGTTTGCAATTTTTGTGAAAGATTTTAGGGAAGTTTCGCTAAAACCAACTATCATAATTCTCCAGAATTACGAGAGGCTTAGCTATGGCAAACTTTTAGCCATTTTGCTGCTGACGTACCAGTCTGCTTGGTCATTATCGCTGTCCTCCTGATAATGCGGGTAATAGGAGTCATATTTAGTATCGTCCATTAAATATTTTAAAATTGGTATCAAATTTTGCACTTTTTCCGGGGTTTTGGGGTTTTGGGGTTTTGGGGTTTTGGGG